ATTTATGGTGGCACCTATATATTTTCTTCACTTTTGGGGCCTTTACTCATAAGATGTCATACAAATAACTTTGATCTATGAGCATTTCACAGAGAAAANCTCTCTCTCTCTCTCTCTCTCTCTCTCTCTCTCTCTCTCTCTCTCTCTCTCTCTCTCTTTTACTCTCCATATATATATATATATATATATATATATATATATATTATATATATAAAATAGTTGACATACAATATTATTCTACTTCAGCTTCAGTTGTACAGAGCATTGGTCATGCATTTGCACAATGAAGTTATCACCTTGATACATCCAGTGTTTATCTGGCACCTTGCATAATCTTTACAACATTGTTGATTATATTACCCACATTGTATTTCATATCCCTATGACCATATTGTGTCTATTAATTTGCTTTTCCTAATCCCTTTGCCTTCTCCCCCATCCCCTCACCCCTTCCATCTAAACAACGAACAGGTTTTTTTTTCTATATCTCTGAGTCTATTTCTGTTTTGTTTGCTCATTTATCCTTTTCTTTAAATTCCACATGTATATGTGAGATCATATGGTATTTGTCTTTCTCAGTCTGATATCACTTAGCCTAATATTCTCAAGGTCCATCCATGTTGTTGCAAAGGGTAATATTTCATTTGTTTTTATTGCCGAGTAAATTGTTGAGGATTTTTGCATCTATGTTCATCAGGAATATCAAACTATTCTTTCTTTTCTTTTCTTTTCCTTTCTTTTTTCTCCTTTTTGTAATGTCTTTGTCTGATTTTGGAATCAGGATAATGGTGGCATCATAGAATGAGCTTGGTAGCCTCCCCTCCTCTTGAATTTTTTGGAATAGTTTGAGAATAATAGGTGTTAATTCTTTTTTGAATATTTGGTAAAATTCACCTGTGAAGCCATGTGGTCCAGGACATTGGTTTGGTTTCCAACAATCTTATGTCTCACCGGGATGGATGGATGGAATTCTCCTTGATTTTCACTGCCAGCGGTTGTGGGGACTCCTTTTCCCAGAACAGGACCTCTGGGCTGGGGAGCATGGTGTGGAGCAGGTACCCCTCATTCTTCAGGGATACCACCACCTCTGAGGTGTCCCTCCCAGTGCTCAACCACTAACTGTGGGTTTGAGGTCAGCCTGTTTCACACCTCTGCCCCTCCTACCAGTCTCAGTGTGGCCTCATCTTTATGTCCTTAGTTATAGGGGTTCTGTTCAGCTAGTCTTCAGATGATTCTCAAGGTTTCTTGTTCTATAATGTAGTTGTAATTTTATGTGATCCTGAGAAGTAGCAGGTGTAATGTTTATCTATTCTTCCATCTTGGATCTTCTCCAGTAAAAGGAATTCTTGAAGGTTGGTGATGATATCTTTGTGTCATACCTATACATATCGATAGGTATGAAGAACCCACCCACCAAAATATTGTGGCTGTCTGAAAAAAAGAGTTCTTATGCTCTGGAAATTCATATTTATTCATAAATAAACAAAACGGCAGAAAATAAATGTTTATATATTTACACAACAAGATCCTACATTTTGGCAATGATGAATTGATTTCAGACATATGCAGTGATATAAAAGTAGCATTAAGTAAAAAAAAAGCAAATTTCAGTAAAACTGAATTATTATAAAGTTAAAAAAACTTGCAATATTGTGTTTAAGGATACAAACATCTGGGGGAATACTTAAAGAAAAATAAGAGAATAATAAGAACCAAATTCAGGACAGTGATGCTTTGTAGAGAGTGAAAGATGTGGAATCAAACCCAGGTCCGCTGGGAACCAAGGCATTTATACTGCTTTCTTCTTTAAACTAGGTAGTGGGGCCCACGTTTCATTGTACTGGTGTTCTTTATACTTGATATATTTTATAATATTATTTTCTAACTGTTTACTATTTAATAAAGACATTTAAAAAGAAGGGATCCAGCTGGACAATGCAGAATGGCTCTTTGATATTGTCATGTGGAATATTATCAAAACAAGCATGAGAATAATATTTGTAAATAATGCAAAAAAAATATTTGTAAATAATATTTGTAAATGTAAAATAAAGGAATGATAAATAATAGATTATTTCTCACCAATTTATCATTTCAATAATCACAAGCATTATTGCTCCTCTTCCTTTGAATGAACTAGCAAAACATAAATAATTCTATTCTCTTAGCTTGAATAATTATTTTTGGAAAGGGAAAGTCAATATTCTTGAACCAAAAAAAAATTTGCAAATCAAGTAACTGAGAACATTGATTCTGACTAATTATTCATTCATTTCAATTAGTTTGCTTTAGAGCAAATCAGCAGGGTTCCAGAGACAGCAAGGAATGAACAGAATAGCATGTACTGTGAACACTCCATTGAAAACTTCCGTTCACAACTCCCCAATGCTATGTGAGCAGCCATCATCTCGGCTCCAGCTTCAGTGTTCATGTAACAGTTTTCCACTTTAGATGCCCACCTCATAATTTCTCTCTCTGGGGGCTGTTTGTAAAACAAAATACATAGGTTGAATTCAGAACAGGCATTGATTATATAACAAATTTAGAGAGAAGCAAAAAGAAAATGATTAAAGACTACAATGATATTTTGCAGAAAGTGTTAGAGTGAACAGAGAAGCCTTTAAAGAAACTAGAATCTACCTGGGATCAGGTCTTGGATGCCATTCCTAGACCATACTTGAATCCAGTGTCTCAGGAAATGCTGCTGGTGTAGCCCATTCTGCTCAAAACCTTCTCTGAACCTCTGCTTCATATTCTTGTTCTTCTCTGGCCTCCTTGTGTTGAGGCCTTGAGTCTCTGTCTATGATCCACCCCTGTGAATTAAATAGTCTGCTAGATAGATGATCTACCTGGTTTGGGATTTCTTCCATTGACTTTTTTTTTCCTTTCAAATTCTTCTTACATTGTCCCTTTAAGAACACAGACAAGTCTCATTCTACCATCAAACCCAACCCGAGCCTGACATTCTGGGCTCCTGCTTAGGTGTAAAGAGAGCTCAGATACTACCTGGAGTCAAAAGAGCTTCCCACATCTCTCAGAAGCCCTGGGACAAGCAGAAAGGTCAATTTGTTTCAGGAAACAAAGATAAAGTCCTTCCATGCGAGGCATCTCCCTCTCTCTTCCTCTCTCTCTCTCCTCTCTCTCTCTCTCTCTCTCTCTCTCTCTCTCTCTCTCTCTCTCTCTCTCTCTCTTTTTCTCTTTAAGGAACAAATTGTCGAGCTGAAGGAAGAACCCTGAAAACAGGTCAAATGAATTATATTTTTCCTACAAGAACATTCACTCATAAATGGCAAATAATTGAGATATTCATTCAAGGAATTATCTGCCATCTCCACCACCTCCTAGGAACAAAAGTTTAAGAAATATGTTGCTTCTTCCTGTAAAACATTTCTCAGCCATTCTTCATGGGGTGGGTAGAGACAGACAAACAAAAACCTTCAACAGCTCTTATGTGAAGTCCCTCCACAGCCCCCCAAAAATGTACTCTGCATTTTCTGTTATATTTCGTACTTTTATTTATCATGAAATGTTGTAGTTAGTTGCATATCTGTTGATCATCTCAGGTGGACTGACACATTTCAGTAGGATCATGTCTTCTTCACCTTTGTATTCCCAACCCCTAGCACATAGTTATTCATCAAATGACATCAATATGTGTGAAGATGAAAGGGAATTGGATTGCATTTTTATTCTTATAAACTGTTCTATAATATTTTAACCATCTGAGCAGCTACAACCAGAAAATTAAGGAATAAGAAGAGTCTTCAAAAGCACTCAGAGAGGCTTGAGAAGAGATATACTAAATTTGATATAATTTGAGATATATTTCTGCCTTCTCCTTTAAGTTCTTGTTTACTGAGAAACAAGGGAGAGTCAGCACTGAGAGTGTTTTTAGGCATTTAAGGGAAGTGACTAGACAAGAGCATATGCTACAGGAGCATATGCTGGCTCACCACAGTGGCTGGAGGCACAGATGCATCAGTGCTGATTTGGTCTGGCAGGTTTCTTGGCTGCTGTCTGATTCTAAGAACAGACAGGAGAAAAAATAACTGGTCTATGCTCGTCCCCTCCTTTTCCATCATCCTCTTCCCAGTGTCTTCCCTCTCTATTTCACTGTTAGGATAAACTTTATAGCAATTGTATGCCCCAAGTGTGATAGGATTCTCAATGAATTCACTCATGAAAACAACAGCTCACTGTATTGAAATAGTGTTTTTTTCCAATCCTAGCATATATCAAATAATTAATAATTATAATAATAAAATAAAGAAATGAAGGAATGGGGAACAAAGTCAAACCCTTTCAGTTAAACAAAGAAGTCAAAGACACAAAACAATGACAGGTTGGACCCAGAATTGTCCTCTGGTTGTACAAAGTAATACAAAGTCATGTCCAGATTTTCTAATACAGTATCAGAGCATAGTCATCCCTTTCTGAACTCCCCCATCTTCTCTTTCCACATTCTCATTTACATGTTGCATTTCTATGACTAGGGCCAAAGGCCAACAGATAGGGTTTTTAGGTGATTCAGTACACCAGTAGCTCTGCTTCAATCATAAGAGACCCACCTCAGGACCCAGACAGAAGTCTTCTTCTTTATACAACTTCTTTATGTTTTCTTAGGGTGTTACTGAAAGCCATGGGGATGCACATCTCCCACTTTTTTTCAACAACATCTACACCCATAAAATGAGAGTTTATCCCTTTTAGGCATTTGAGGAGACAATCAAGGCAACCAAAATGAAGAAGTGTCAGGGTGAAAGGGAAAAGAAGAGGAGAAGTGTATGTAGGAGGATGAAGAAAATAAAGATTATAAAGCAGAAAGTCCAGGTAGCTCTGCCTACTAGAGCAAACTCCTTCTTTCCCTCATCATCAGTGTGATATCCTCAAGAAAGCACAGATCCCAGAGTCAGAAAACCAGCTTTAGAGTCTTCATTTTGCCATCATTCTTTATGTATCCTTCAACAAGTCACTTCAGTTCTTTGAATTTTAGTGTCCACATTGTAAAATGGAGGTAATCATAATAACACCTGCACTCTCAAATCCAAAAATATTTGTGAGGACCATTTTAAAATATTTTATAAGCTATGAAGTGCAGTTGAAGTGTTAGCTACTCTTTTTCTCTCTGCAACTGCTCACAAAGGAAGACCAGTTGATGTAGGACTTTCCTCAGAGATGATTTTACCTCCTTATTCCTGAGGCTGTAGATCAAGGGGTTCAGCATGCAAGTAACCAGGTTATTCATGACCTGAACAGTTGCATCCAGCCAGGGACTTGGGGTTGGCCTTAGGTAAATGAGGACCACTGGCATGTAGAAAAGTAAGATTGCAGTGAGGTGGGCACTGCAAGTAGAAAAGGCACGACGTCGGCCCTCCACAGAGCGGATCTGCAGGATGGAGTGGACAATGAGACTGTAGGAAGTGAGGATGAGAAGGAAGCAGCTGAGGGGCATGAGGCCAACACTGATAAACCCCACCATCTCCATGGTAGAGGTGTCTGCACAAGCCAGCTTCAACATCACTGGGATGTCACAGAAGAAATAGTCTACTTCATTGGAGCCACAGTAGGGCAATTGGAAGGTGAGAGTGGTTAGAAAGGTGGCCTGAATACAGCCAAATACTGAGGTTCCCAGGGCTAGGATGGCACATACTCTGTGGCTCATGATTATCGTGTAGCGTAGAGGGTAACATATCGCAACAAAGCGGTCATAGGCCATCACTGTGTACAGGAAACACTCAGTACAGCCCAGGAAATGGTAGAAGAAGAGCTGAGATGCACAGCCAGCATAGGAGATGGTTCGACTATTCCCTGAGAGGTAGAAGAGCATCTTGGGGGAACTCACAGAAGGGAAAAATATGTCACACACCGACAGTTTACACAGGAAGAAGTACATAGGAGTATGAAGTTGAGTGGAGGAGACAATTGCCAGTAGGATGAGCAGGTTTCCCACTAGGGTGAATATGTAGAAAGACAAAAACAGGACAAAGAGCATGGTCTCCAGATCCTTTGTGTGTGGGATGCCCAGCAGGATAAACTCGGTCACCACTGAGGCATTCCTCATAGCTGTGAGAAAGTCAGACCTGAAAAGGGAACCAAGACACCAAAATCTGAATCAATATCATATTATCAAGCTTTTTGCTCATGAGTGCCCATGGCTGTATTTTTAACAAGCAACAACCAGCCTTCTTATGAATGGCAAGATCTATATAAAAATATCAAGTAGTAAGAAATGCTTATTTCAGAGCCACAGTTTATCCAACTCCTGGAAGAAATGTTTTGTGGAAGTGGATGATTTTCCTGTATGACAAAATCAGAAATTCAAAGGTATATTCAAAACATTCTCATGTTAAGTTAGAAACCTTTTTATACTTGTTTATGGATTTACTCCCTTTAGGCATATTTATACTTCAAGCTTTCACAATATCTTTGAGTAACAAACTCCCACAATTTACTACCCTCTGAAAATTATCAGAAAAATAAATTGCATTAGAAATGAGAACACGTAAGTTAAATCCTGGTTTTGCAACAAAAATACCCAGGTATCATAGTAAAGTTTATGAAATGTCTGTGACAATATCTGGCAAAAACAGAAATCCTAATGAAAAGTTTTTCTTTCTTTTATGTATTTTAAACTTACTTTTTAAAGTGCTTTCCTTTAACGTTGGTATTCTGTAATTATTTGCAAAAAAATTATTTGTTTTAAATAATATCATTGAATAGACTTAGATCATATTTTCTTTAGATTACATCCTTCCAGACTTGCAAGGTCTAATATCCCCAACTCTATCAGGAGGTGCTGCTTTGGTAATTCTGGTCCTTTCAAACCTTTTTTAAGTGGACTTGAGGCAGCTCTGAAATGTTAAGCAAAAGAAGTAGTTGCAAAAAGAAAAACATCAAATTTATGTTACTGTGATGAAGAAAGACATACAGTGACCCACAGAACAGAAAAGCAAAGAACAGCTCTAATGAGGAAGGTTAAACAAGTCAAAAGCAGGATCTGGTACCTAAGAGACACAGAGGCCTCTTCCTGTCATAACTCACATCATCATCATCATCATCATCATCATCATCCATAGATGCACGTATATATACACATGGCGTTTAATGACTATTTACTGTGTTCTAAGGACTGGGCTTAACACTTCAAAAATATGATTCATCTTTAAAAATAACCCTAAGAAGAAACCATTAGTACAGTTTCCATCTACAGAGAGGGAAACTGAAGCTTAGAAAAATTAAGCAAGTTGCCTAAATTTACAGAGGTAGTATGTGACAAGAGCCAAGACTAAAACCTGTTTCTTGCCTTTGTTCATGCCCTGAATCATTAGGAAAATTGGCCTCTGTTTGCCTCTATTTTTTAAGTCAGCCCATTCCACTTCTAGGCAATAACACCCTTCTAAGTGGGTTCATCATCATTTTATACTAAGGTAGGAAAAGTATTCTTGTCTTACTTCTTCCTGGTCATCTCTAGTCTTGACTTCAGAGCACACCTAAGCTAATATAGCATTTAATTTTAGAAATCAGACAATAAGCTTATCCTATAACTTTAACATCATTCCTTAATATCAACTCCAATAGAGGAGCTTTCAAGTTATAGAGCCACATTCGCCATGGGGATTCAAATCATACACTGTGGCAAGTGCCACTTAAAAACATATCTAAAGAGAATGACCAAGCCAAAATGAGTAACTCACACAGCACCCTACAACTGAGCAAAAGTGAAGATGACAAAGAGAAAAACAGTGACATTCGGGGGGGGGGGCTGCTGCTGACAACCTGCTTCTGGTTACTAATTCTAGACGTACCTGAATAGTATCTCTGAGTCATGCAAATTTCTTTGAGCTCTGGATCATCTCTTCCTGGTCAGCAAAGGCTCGCAGAGGTCTTTGGTTCTTACCTATCATTACATATCATGATAATGTATGATTATATAACCCTGTTTGATTTTTAAGTCATTTTAGGCAAAAGAAGTCCACAAGGACCAGGAAGGCCCCTGTGTGTAGACACCTCTTAGTGTGTGAGGAGCAGAGGCTAACAGTAAGATAGGGGCAGCAGTTTGAACACTCACATAGTCCACCTGAGAGCACAGTAAAGTTTTCCAAAGCACTATAATAAGACCTTACATTTACCGTTTCTGAACAGAGTACAGTATACTCCAGCCAAAGAAGCTTCAGTGTTCCTACTTATAAAGTATTAACTCTCATAGGGTTTGTATAATCAAGACCTGTACACGTTCACTTTCCATGGATTGCTTCCTTGGAAGTTTTTGCAGACTCCCTCAAGCCCTACTTTGGACTCACTGATGGCTCTGAGGGAACAATTAGTTTGTCAGCCTAATTCATCCCCAGCTATGAAATAATAGTAATGAGATCATCAGAAAGGGATGCTATTAAGTGGGAAATGGCTATCTTCCTCCAAGATTGTTTGCATGGTAGAATAAGCTCCAATTCTAACTTTAGATCACCTGCAAAGCTACCCACTCTTTGGTTCGGTTTTTTGTTTTACACCTTCAAGTTTTTGCTTGTGCTATCATGTCTTATTGCTTTTGAAATTATCTATTCATCCATATAACTATATAGCTATCTCTAATAAACATCAGTATTCAAGACAGAAACCTAATCAGTTAGTAATTATTCATTATGAATTGATTATTATTATGTGCCCTTCAAATCAGTATTCTTAAAGAGTAATAGTTACATGCTAGGCACATTCATAGCTAAAGGAGCTGAACCATCTCAACAAAACATATTGACTAAATAGTAATATTCAGTTAACAATTCATTATAAGCACTTACCATGTGTTAAGCATTATGCTAAATTTTTAAATTAATTATTACATTTAATCTCTAAAAACACTTTATAAAGTAGGTGGTATTATTTGACAAAGAAATTGAAAAACAGATTAAATAACTTGAAGATTGCACAATGAGAAAGTGACTAAGCTGAGACTCTTTAATTTCAAAGTCAATATTTTAAAGCACTATCTTATGAATTCCAGGGATTTGGGTTTTGCACTCTTTAAGCAGAAATATAATATGGTCTTCAAATGCTTGCAGGGCTGGTAGAGAGACTTGATAAGTGCTGTTCCATGTGGTGACTCAGAAATCATGGGCAGATGTGGTAGACAGACAGACTTCTTTTCTTTTTTTTTTAGTTTCAGGTGTACAAAACAATGTAATATTTAACCCCTCACAAAGTGATAATCCCTCCCCTAATCTATTGCCCCTCTGACATCACATATATCTATTACAATTCCATTGACTCTATTCCCTATGCTATACTCCATATCCTGAATTATATATATAAATTATGGTTGACATACAAATTATTCAGCTTCAAGTGTACAGTGCAGTGGTCAAGCCTCTACACCGTCCATGAAGTGTTCTCTCTAACAAGACATGTGCCCATCTGACACCCTACAAAATCTTTACAACATTATTTATTAGATTCCCCAAACTGTCTTTCAAGTCTTTCTTGCGTTTCTAGTAGAATATTTAGTCTCAAAGAATTTAAACAACTTAACTGCAGTAACAGAGTTGGTTAAAGGTGGATTAAAATTGTTTAAAGGTGGTTAAATCCAGGATATGACTCCTCCCTTTGTGTCATAGAGAAAAATAAGATTATAACTAATTCTGATTTTCAAATACTCATTCATAACTAAGATCACCTTACATTTGTCACTGGCTCAAGTTGTCTAGTGCACTTTTATAATATGTTGTTCTAATTAATTCTCTCCAAAACCATGTAAGGTGGCTGTTATTAACCTCATTTTGCAAATAAGAACATTGGAACACAGAGCAATTGTGACTTTTCTAAAGTTAGCCAGTGAAAGAGCCCAAGCATTCCCAAGCTTAGCTCTCTTTCCACTACATCATCACTGCCTCTCAATATGACTCCATACTGAAAACAGCTGTTCCTGTATGAGAAGAGAATTATTAATAATATTTCAGAGATTTGGAGGAGTGTTATGTATACCCTTACAGTCATTACTGTATTAATCTTGGATTCTCTGACAAGATTATGGCCTTGAAGTATAGTGAGAGAGAGAGAGAGAGAGAGAGAGAGAGAGAGAGAGAGAGAGAGAGAGAGAGAGTTCAGAGTTGTTTTGCTATGCTAAACTATTGACTTTCTTCCTCCCTCCTTTATTCCTTCTGTCCATCCCTTCTTCTTCTTCTTCTCTCTCTCTCTCTCTCTCTCTCTCTCTCTCTCTCTCTCTCTCTCTCTCTCTGTGTGTGTCTCTTCCTTTCTCTCTTATTGTATCATATTCTAGTTTATCCTGATTAATGAACAATTCACAGAGGTAGAGGTTGAAATTATTTGGGTCTACTCTCATATAAAATAAAATAAATGGCAAATATACAGTAGTTTTTAGGAAATTAAAATTCAGTATGGAAAATTTTAAAAAAGAGGAATAAAAAGTTCAGAAAATACCATACACAGTAAGTAAACTTTAAACTGAAGACTAAAGGATACTAGCCAGAACTAAATAAATCCAGCCCTGGTTAAGCTAACTTTCTTCTTAACCTCTTCCTGCATTCTAGCAATTGAACACAGCTGGAGAAAAACATCCAACTTTTATGACTAATTTTACTTGAAATTTGTAACCACTAATTCAGTTGAATTCTTGAAGCTGCCCACCAAACCCAGTTTTCCTGGTCCACTCACACCTTCACTCTCCTTAGCTACCATGTCACCCTTTCTACCCAAAATGTTAATATATACATACATCAAATGATAATGTTGTACACCTTAAACTTATACAATGTTATATATCAATTACATTTCAATAACACTGAAAAAATAAATCAATTAAATAAAAACAACAACAAAGAAATATCTTCCTTCTTCCTCATTGCCAGCCCATGGCTTATGCTTCTATTTCAGAGAAAACAGAAGAAATCAGAGAAACTGGCACACTTTCTTACCACTATATCTCCCATACTTCCTGTATCTGCACTCACCTAAACTGTCTTTCTTCGGGCTACTGGGACTGAATTCTGCTTACTTGTCTCCAAAGCTGGCCCCTCCAACCTGTGTATTGACCAAGTTGATTTAAAATTC